TATTATTAATAAATTATAATTATAAAATAATTTTTTTAGCTTTAAGTAACTATTTCTTAATATATATATTAAAAGTAAGCCTGCGGTTAAGCCAGACTCTTAGCTAATATATTACCTTCTAGGCCTTAATCTCCTTGCCTTAGTGGGAGACCGTGTTTAATGCTCGGGATAGTATAAGGGCAATATGTATATATTGTTTGAGAAATTGGCTGCCAGATTGCGATAAAACTTGGTCCTGGTATGGTACAGTACACACGAATACGCACTAGCATTAATGTCTCTTATAACTTACTAGACCTCGTTAAAGGAACCAATTATAAAGAGGAGAGCGGAAAAAGTAATGCTTGCGATGGCCTATTATCTGTTACCTACGCCGGAATAGAGAGAACACCTTCAGTCAGAGATCGCAGAGTACTTATATTTGTTAACGCCTACTTCATGCTGGCTGTATTGGCAGGGATTAGCCCTCTAGCAGGGGTGTCGTTTTAAGTTACGTTTGGCTGCGGAATGTTCCGTTTTGGCGCCGCAGGGATCCTGGCTAAATAGATCGCCAGATTCTTTATTTTCTACTTATTAGTATAATATATACCTTTGTCTCTATAAAGCGGCGTGTTATACTGCTTATAACTATAAATTATATTAGAATAATTTTCACTTTCTTTTTAGATCTTAATAGTACAGTAATATATCCTTTTTCTTATTAGACAACCAGATAGCTCAGGATTCTCACCTAGACCCTAAATTGCAGTGAGATATAAAGTAGATAAAAGTGGGGCGCGCTAAAACGCAACACTTTAAGTGTAACAGGCTGGGCCGTTAAGGTGCACTCAACTAATACTAATATAATAGCGCTACTAAATAATCTGATTTTAAGTGTTTTAATATAAACAGGTAACTAGCTCTTTAAAAGCTTTCAGTTCTTCTTTACTATAATATAATTAATATATTAGTTTATAACACGCTTTTAACTAGATAAGCCTTATACCCCTTACACCTATAATTAAAAGAATAAAGACGTAAAATAATATAGTTAATTTAGCCTATTTAATAATTACCCTCTAACTTTTTACTAGGAAGATTATTACTATAAAGAATTCTCCACTTACTGCTATAAAAACTTAGTAAAAGCTCCCTCCCGCACTATTAAAGCAGGTAGTGACAACTGTCATACCATGCCCTCCCATGGCGGCCAGCGTGTCCTGCAGACGCCGTGGTACACCCACTTTGTTGGTTTATCTTAATCGTGCCCACCCCACAATGTAGTTGGCTCGTTACTTATGCCTTACCTCCTTTATTATATGGGCGCGAAATCGACAGTAACGTAAAATTTCCCTCATGGCGTGTCTTGCATCCAAGGAAATATCGGCTGCTGCACCTGAATGTGTTCAGATTCATATTGGAAGGCACATCAACATCACCGTCAAAGGACTAGAGCTGGTGCGTGAGGGGTATAACCAATGAGAAGGGCTTCAGATAAAAAGCCTTATGTCTTGCCGCTACTCTCAACTACGGTGCAGAATGGGATTGCCTAGCCTGATGACATCTGGCGGAGAGAAAACATGCACGGGGGAGAGAATAAGCTTGACGGCCTGTCTTGTAGGTCCCGGCACTAATATCGTAACGCTATTCCGGCAACCCACATAATTTTGACTTGACAGCTTGATGCTACGCAAGGTCCGAGTCAAATGGTGAGACGCGGCCAGCAATGGCCTTGTGTCTGACAATTGTGGGGTCACAAACCCGGAGTCGGGCCACACTTGTTTGCATAAATGGCCTCAAAAATCCACTATCCACTTACAAATAGTTAACTAGTTATATAAGTGTATATTATTAGTAGAAGATGTGTTTACGGTCGTATATTAGCTAAGCTTTATATA